AGTTTCAACATCATTAAGACACTCATATACCCATAAAACATCATCCAACTAAAGGAATCACTCTAGTCTGTCCAATGTAGTGATCTAGATTCAACATTATTCATGAATGATGCCACTCCTAAATCTATATATTGACCGCTAATCTCTTCATAAGGGGGACCCTGACCTGGATTAAAAAAAATGAATGGAGCTGCAAGAAATTGAGGATTCTCGAGCTCCACCACCGCCTAACTACTCCTAGGTTGCCTCTAGCATGAGATCTTCATCACTGACTGCCACCCTCGTCACCGCCAAACTATCACATGCCTAACACCACCACCTTCATTGAGGGGCCACTGTCATTCCCGGATCACCGTTGTTGTTGGAGAATAAATGTTGCTTGAAGACCACTACGAACACCACATTGCTTGATAGTTGTAGCCATTAAACCACCATCGCTCAGTTGATAAGGAAACCAACTCTATCGTTGCCAGATCACCATCGCCTGATTGACAATCACCATCAAATTAGCATTGACTGGCCATCACCATCATCACCAGGCCACAATCACTTGGATATCGCCGTCATTAAACCCCCAACATCAGACCACCATTGCTTAATTATCGGCATTGTCGTACCACTACCATTGCTAGACCAGGGCTTTCATCATCGTTGCACATGACTGCCATCATTGTCATAATTGGACCACTGCACAATTGACACTATCACTACCATTAAAGGGATGTTGCTATCAGGCCATCATTGTTGCCAATACATTGCCACCATCACTGAATCATCGTTGCCCAATTGTCACCATAGGAGCATTGCCACAGTGACACCACCTCTGCCATCATTGAACCCTGACTGTCTGACCATAGTTGCTGGATTGTCACCACCATTAGATGACCATCACTTGACCAACATTATCTTTCCCACTATTATAAGGCTTCCACCCCCATCATTGTCGGACCACCACCTAGATAATTTTCTCACCGCTTTCAATGGAACACCGTTATCGTTAGACCACTATCTCTCAGTCACCACCATTGTCAACAATGAACCAAAATACACCTGATGGTGCCATCATAATTGTTGGAGTGCTGCCATCACTGGAACATTGACACCATTGTTGGATCACCATCACTTAGCTGTCATTGCTATCATTTCCAGGTTGACGTTACCACCAACATCGCTAAACCACTATCACTTGATAGCTATCGCTATTGCCATGATGACCATCAGATAGTCATCTCCTAGAAAAATTATCACCATCACTACCATTGTCAGATTCTCGCCACCATCAAATCACCCTTGACTGGTTGCCACTGCCATTGGAGCACCATTATCTAACTAACAATGCTATCGTTGAATCGCCATTGTTAGTCCAACATTATCACCACCATTTTATTTAGACCATCATCTTCGTTGATTCACCATTGCTCGACTGACATCGCCACCCCCACGCCTTCATCGCTCGCCCGACTAACACCACAATTGTCAAACCACCACTATCGTCGCCACTAGACCAACATCACCCTAGTGACACATTTTCTTTGTTTTTGTCACCATTGAACCACTCTCTCTTTAGACTATTGTTGCCACCACCATTGTTACTAGTTCATCTTCGCCATCATCATTGGATAACTGCCCAACTGATGCTGCTCTCACTATCAAATGGTATCCACTATTATAGGATCATCATCACCCGATCGTTGTCGTCATCACCAACAAACCACCACCCATATGATGCCATCATCACCTTCATTAGAGCACCATCGACATCACTAAATCATTTCTATCAGCCATCACCACCCAGTTGACTCCACCATCATCATCGCCAAAATACGTTCTCATGATAGTTGTTATCACAGAAAGCTGTCATCACCGAACCACGATTATTCAACTTGTAACCTCATCATCACTGTTGTCATCTTATCACCGTCGCATGGTCGCAATCATAATTACAATTGACACTACCGCCAACAACCATTGTGGCTTGCCTGGTTGACATCTTCATTGCCAGATCACCATCACCATCGTTATTGGACCACCTTTTCCCACCTTTTCCCTACAGACACTGTTGCTTGGTTATCAACTCCTTCAATTGACCACCACTTAAATAATATTAAAACAATAATGGTTTCTTGACTACCATAGCCATCATCAAACCACAATCACTATCAATGAATCACCATTTTCAGGTTACCATCTTTATCGCTATTTAATCATCATTGGGCTGACATTATCTTTTGGCTAGCACCACTACAACCAAGCCACCGTGACTCACTGACTGACACTGCCATTATTAGGCTACCATCATCATTATTATTGGATCACCATTAACTTGTTGACACCTTCACTTGTCTACCTTCACCATTAGACCACAATCACTCAACCAACATTATTTTAATCATTATCAACAGATCAATGCATTCATTGCTAAAACACAACCAAAATCAGTGGATCATCATTACATGATCACCAATACTGTTAGTGCTAGACCATTGCCACTTTTATGCCTCCTCAGAATTATCATCTCCTAGCTAAAATGTTTTTAGTAGAAAATTGTAACTCACATAGCTGACACAATCATTGTCGGTCCACCACCATCATCAACCTACTTTCACAGGTACCTGAAATCCATGATCATTAACGCTTCACTTAGCCATTACGAACACTATTGTTGAACCACCATTGCCTATTTTTTATCACTTCCAGTGTTGCTAACTTCAAATCTCCATCACATAGCTCCCATCATTAGTCTTTAATTGTTGTATCCAAGTCGTTGCCATTTCTTCAATATTTTATATCACTTATTTTGTGGAAGTCAAATCAATAACTCTTACTCTTTTAATAATATATATTTTTTATTGAAGAATAAGTAATATCTTGTAACATACATTTGGAAAAGTGGAACCATTTCAACAAGCCTAGACCCCGTGGTTTTTCTTTTTAAGGTTTTCCATATAAAAATCTCTAGTGTCCCTCTAATAGCTATTCTTTCATGTTTGTGTGTTGAATTTTTATATAATGTTAAGATTTTAATATACTTTATAACTATGAAAATTTTCTCATGTTACAGTTTGGCTCATATGTCAGAAAGCAATCCAAATATTATAGAATCTGAGACACTCACTAAATGGCCAATAAATGTAATACTATCAATAACAGACCTTCCACTCATACACTCAAAATTTCATGGATAATCTCAAAGCTAGGGACATCAAGCCTCTAGTTTTCCCTTACTTGATACACATTCTCTTACTAGCGAAGGCCCCTTAGATCATTTTAGGAAGATAAGGTTCATAGAGTAGAGAAGTCAATAACAAGATTTTTTAACTCTTATGTGAGATTCAACAACTAGAACTACTATAATCAAATATGGTTTACATGCTCCGAGAATGACTCTAAATTAGGAATGTCCTGCTTGAGATTGTCCATACGAGGCTCCATCATCTCTGTGCCAAATTTATTCCTTTATTGGGAAAGGATCTTGACCCGCTTGATAATGATAATTCCCTTACCCATACTGTACAAACTGACTGACACAACTTCATTTATGGATGCTCCTTGTGATGTAATCCATGTTGAATTACATATTCAACTTCAAGAAAAGTTATCTTTTAGGGATTGGAATCATTACTTGTCTCATTGTAATCTTTAAGATTCTTTAGCGTTAGACTAAATAATTCTTTAACACCCCGTCTTAGTGGACACAAGCTCCTAAATACTGTCTTTTATGATATGGCATCAGAATTATACTCTAAAACTATGTTGACCACTGTAGAACATTATGTGCATTCACGAACCTCTAATCTCCTCTTAATTGAGTTTTTCCAACCACCTTCAAAATTCATGCTCCCCCACTTGGGGGGATCCACCATGGGCCTTTCCACTCATGATTAATGTGACAGATAATTTATTCATATGCAAACCTCATCCATGATGTGCAATCCCAGATACTTGCCAATGAGGCTGTTTATGCCCATGGAAAGTAACTTGAATAACCCATGAGTTAACATTAGGATACCTCAAGATATGAAAACCAATGATTTCAGAATTATTGAAATTTAATTTAGGTTGTGAGACAATTTACAATACAACTTCAAAAAGTTTTAAGTTAATGTATCGAGCATAGTTATCACAAAGTATCCTTTTTTGCCTTCCGCTGGTTATCCAAGTTGTGAGAAGTAGCTCTAATTTAGGGGCAACATTTACTAATTACTCAAAGGTTTGTTCACATTAATATTTTGGGTGTAGTTGTGGTTGTGCAATTTATTTGACTTTTGCCTACACATTAACTCATGAGAAACAATTCAAGGCCGGGGAAAACCTTCACTACATTCTCAAAATGTGTATCACACCAACATGCTGAACATGATTGTTGTAGTGTCTTTTTTTTTTCTTCCAGTAGTTTCTTACTCTATAAGACTAATTCCAAGCTAGAGACAACATTCACTACATCTTTAAAAGGTTATTCACATCAATGCCCAAGAAATATTCACATCATAAGCCCATGGATGAAATGTTATTTTCCACTTTTAAGATGTTAAAAACAAGTACTTTTGATGTGATATTAAAAATTTAATTGTCATGTTTAGATGTTGAATAACTAAATGCAAATGAATCACGGGATATGTATGTAAAGGCCCATAAATGTAAAAATCAAACCACTTTGATGTCTATCATGTAAATGCATAAATATTGTACGAAATTTATGTATATTTCTCTAATAAATCTCGGTCACAATAAAAATCAATTTTCTCCTCCATTTCCATCATTAATAGCCCCAATGATATTATGACCATAAAGTCACTCATTTCGCTCCGAAGTCGTCAATCACTCGAAAATTGATTAAAATTTTCGCTCGCATGAAGATCCCAACCCCAACTCAACTCATAAACTAAGATTGTTCTAATCCATTCTAAATCAAGCATTTTCCAGATTAAGAACAAAAAATCCCCACCCTCCCCGCATCCCTCTCCCCTCCATCTCCCAATTCCCCCATCCCCACCCAACGCCCACCATTTCCCTCCCCTCACAACGCGCCATAAAAACCAACAAAAAACCAAAAAACCAAACGCCAAAAAAAACGCAAGAGAACATCCCGCATCATCGCCAACCTCCCCTAACCGGAGCCGCCGCAACCGGTCCTCCATCCCCCCAAACCCACCATGACCAAAACCCATAAATCCTCCTCCTCCACCACCACCACCACAACCACAACCACCTCCACCTCCACCTCCACCTCCGCCTGCGCCGCCTGCAAATACCAGCGCCGCCGCTGCACCTCCGACTGCATCCTCGCCCCCCATTTCCCCGCCAACAATCCTCTCCAATTCCGCAACGTCCACCGCCTCTTCGGCGTCTCGAACATCCTCAAAATCCTCAAGAGAGTCGCTCCTCAGCTCCACAAAGAAACCATGACTTCCATCATCATGCAGTCCAATATCCGGGCGCAGGATCCCGTCGGCGGTTGCTATCGTTTTATACTCGATCTTAAGTTTCAGATCGATCGTCTCTCCGCGGAGCTTCAGTTCGTTCTCAACCAGCTCGCCTTCTATCGTCCGCAGGTTCGTCCAAAAAGCCGCATTTGCAATGTATTGTTTCGGCTGAAAAATTCAATTTTTCAGAAAATATACTAAAGTTTTATGCATGATATTAATAAGGCTTTATATCCATGTAGCTTTATTTAATTAAAATTTTATTTTTCTGTCTTGTAGTTATGAAATGATTTATCATTTTATTAATTTATACATTTCAGAGAATCATAGGGAATGGTTTATCAATTTATAAAAGATATATGTGCAACTTTTTTTTGTTATTCATGTTTATGTCAATGTCATCTTCATTATGAATAAGGAATCAAACAAATATCATGTTTTCTTAACTAGTTAATGTTACATATGCTACTTCAAATTCAGCCCTATAAATAACAAGATGAATAATGCCCAATCTATTTACATTCATCTCTTTTACACTAGTTTGATGCTACGGCCAATGTGGCCAGTTCTGGTGACGCCAACTACACTCAAGCAGTCACCGCCGTTGATGCCTATGGAAATATGACAATCATGCAGCAACAACCGCAACAACAACTACAACAACAATATTGCAACTCTTTCTCATACGACTTCCAAGAAAAACAAGACTCTAATCATGGTGTGATTGCTCCTGATAACAATAACAACAATCTAAGCAGTGGAATTGGGTTTGATGTGAACATGGATAATCTTGGGAATTCATCCTTGGAGATGGAAATGATGGGCTCATGCCAAAATTGTGTGCAAGAAGATGCAATGAAACCCTTTGCTGAAATATTTGATATGGAGAATACATTTGAATATGGTGAGAACTCCAAGGATCTCACAGTTGCTTCATCTTTCGTGGCACTACATGCCAGGTAAACCTTTTATTTTAATTTTATTGATTTACAATTATTGTGAACTTGGTTGTATTTTATTGAATTACAAATTAATCTATTGGTTATAACTTTGTGCCACTATATGCAGTGTGTTAAGTGTTGGTTGTGGAGGTTCATTATGTAGTTTTTTCTTATCTCGAGAAAGTTAAGAGATACACCCTGCCATTGACATTATAAATAAACAGAAATAAACAAGTGCTCCAAATAAGCTCGAGTAAGACATAGGTTCTCCAATCTAACTTCAGAAAGATGTGGCAGTAAATAGCAAACTAAACATTTGGGCACCCAAGATAATCCGCATGTGTCTCATCCTATATCTATAAAAGGCTGACTAAACTAACAAAAATATTGTAGGAACCAAAAACTACCATTTTAGTAGGAAAACATACTTAATATGCCCCTCTCCAATAATCTAACAATAAAAATATAAAAATCAAGGCAACCAGAAGTAAAAAGTTATGATAAAAAATCATTGCAAGGGAAATTTCTCATGAAAGATAAAATGTTAATTAAAATAAGGTGCATAAATATTGTTAGATAAATTATCATTAAATTTTCTTTCTTTGCTTTTCTACGTGATAGCAAGATAAATTATCTTAATAGGTATTTTATGATAAGTTCACCTATCAATAGTGAATATTCTATTATTTCTTTCTACCGGCCATACGTAATAAGTAATAATCTGTGTGCCCGAAAAATACGAATCTTCTTTTAATTTTCCTCATGAGTAAGGGACTTGAATAAGATTATGACTAATTTGAAAAAAAAAAGAAATCAAGTAGGAATCTCTTCTTGAGCACTTAAAAAGGTAAAAAAAAAAAAAGGAAAGTGACTCATTATGCTAAGGAGCATCAAACTCAAATTTAATTAATAGAAAGGTCCCATATAGTTAAATGTATTAAGTTTTAAACCCATCAAGGATAAATTTTCAAGCAAATATTATATATCTGAATGAACACCCCTTTTAACACACATGCTTTCTCTAGTTAACCTTTAGAACATGAGAAAATAAGAAATGATAACACTAGTTGGTAGAGTTGAGAATAGAGATACTCATCATTTCTCGAGTAAAAGGAATGGATAAAAGAATGGAAGTAGAGAAGAAGTTTCAAACACCATTAAAAATTAACTCTAAACTTTTGTCTAACGATTAATATTAAAAAATTAAACTAAAATGCTCAATAAAATCATTACAACTAAACCACAAGTAACGAAAAAAAACAACAACTTATTTTTTAAATCAAACTTTAGAAGAAATCCAACTATGAATTTTACATTTAACTTTATAAATAGCTTTTCAAAAGGAAAACCCCCTCTTAATTGGCTTATATTAAATAAAACCATAAGTATAAAAAAGGTAGAAAGCCAGATAAGAATTTTGATATTAATTTCTCCAAATTGCTCCAATTTCTTAAGAATATATAAAGTATGAATAAAAGGAAGATTAGAACCACCTATGTCACAAGCAAAGTCGTGCTATTTTAAAATATAAAGGGTGTTTTATTGTTTGTGCTACTATTTTGTAAGAAATTAGATATTAATCTGTATATATGTTATTTTACTCCTTTAGATAAAGAAATGGAGCTAAAATAATAATAAATTCAACTCCATCTGATAGATCAAACAAGTTGAAATCTTTCAAAAAATAAAAATAACATTTTATTCTAGAAACTTAACCATTTAATTTGTGTAATTTATCAATATATAAGAATAATTAATAACTTTATGTTAAAAGAATAGGTAGTTAAGCCAAGATGATTCCAAGGTAGATCTTTATGGATACAAATCAAGACTTGAAAAATAGAATCTTTAATTTGAATCTATAGCCTTAGAGAAGCATATAAAAAATTTATTAATTTTAACAATTATGCTAATAGTCTTTATTAAAATTCCAAGAGTAGATTTGAAGCAAGATGTAGAATTATTATTAGCTTTACCAAAGACCACCATATCATTACAATATATTAAATGTGATATGACATATTTTTTCATTTTAATGCCCAATAAGTTCAATCTATGAGAAAAAATTATCTAGAAGTATAAAGAAACTATAGCTAATAAAATATCAAAAAAAAAGAAAAAAAAAGAAAAAAGTGGTAACATTCATTGAGGCTAGGAAATGATAGAAGGAACCATTTTAGTTTGCTATATTAAAACAATCTTAATATTTTTTTGGTGCAAAATTTTCTGATAAAATATATGAATTTAGCTCATGCAATAACTAATTGCCTAAGATAGTATCATCTGAGGTATCAATATCATAAATAAAAGTAGGCTAAGTTGGGTGCCTCACCTTAAAAAGCAATGATTTTAGAATATCAACAATCACCTTAGTAATAACTTTATATGAGATATTGTTGTGAGGGACATATACGATGTCATTTAAAATTTTTATATGAGAACATTTAGGAACTAAAGTTATGGCATATTACTTTACTTCAGTTAAGAGTTTATAGGATTAGAAAAAAAAAGGATATAGTTATGATGAAAGAATAACTAATAGTATATGTCTTTTGTCTATAATGAGTTTGAATGTGAAGCCATTTGAACTAGGAGCATTATCGTTGCCAACATTAAAAATAGCTAATTTAATATCCTCATTAGAGAAACAAATAATTGAAAAATTTTAATCATCAAGAGAAAAAGAGTTGCCAATAGGTAGATTAAATTTTTATGCTATAAACCAATTATCCCCATTAAAAATATTAGAATGTCAAATTAAGTTGTCTCTAGCCATACCATTTTGACAGCTAATAGGTTTGGCATCACAAATCAAGTACTTAATGAGATTATAATTCTTATTATTTTCAATCCTCAAGTACATGAAATTTAGATCATGTACTTGAAAAAACTATTAGCAAGTGAATATGCGTCAAATTTATCTTTAAGCTTTCAAGGCATACCCTCCAATAGCATATAATAAATTGCTCTAGAATGGTCTCTTTCTAATGGTGCAATATCAAGTTTCCATAGATTTTATAACACTTCCGAATTCAAGAAGGAAACCTCATCTTCAACATATGGAAAGTAGCAAAATATATGAGGTATTGGGAAAAAAAAAATTTCTATTGGATATTTTTCTTATAGTTTATGTGATGATGTAAAAATATCTATGCAGAGTTTGAAGTTGTTTGTTTCAATAAGCTATAGCCATGATGATGGATTTGAGTTGAAGTATAAAGTTTCCATCACTAATTAAACATAGCTAGTTGTGATGATAAAAGGAGTTTTTCTGTATGCATAATGATTTGGATAAAAGGATTCATTTCTATGCAATAATAATCATAATTGCATGAAAAAAAAATTGTGAGAAGAAATGGTCATTAGATGCCATAATCTCTAAGTTGTTGGTTATAATACTTGAATTAGAAGAAGGTGATGTAAGAAGGATGGAGAATGATCAATGAATCCGAGGGATGTGCGATGTTCGTTGTTGAGGCTTAGATAAGGAGTAACTTAACTTCTGACATTATTATTGAGATGATTAACTTTTATTAGATAAGGGGAGTGTAAATGATCTTACTTATACATTAAAAGTATAGAAAATATGAATATTTGTGACAAAATTATTTCAACGGCTCACCGAGTACTTTACGATCGTTTGGATGAGTTCCGACGATCGTTTGACGGACTATCGAGTAAGTGACATCTTTTTATGGTGTTGTACTTTTTCCGACAGCTAAACCCGTCGGTAATTATCGATGATCAATCGATGGTGATGCGACATTTTTTTGAAAGAAGTGCTACACTTTTCCGACAGCTAAGGGTGTCAATTATTGTACCGACAGAAACAGACTGCTTAACAACACTATGGTTTGAACTAACAGAGATGGGTGAAGTTTGTCGGCAAACTATTGGTTCAAAAAAGTTGTCTGTTTTTTCCATAGGTATTTGAGTTACCGACAAGAGTGTTTGTTACGTCAAAAAAATCATAATTATACTGTTGGAAATAGCTTTACCGACGGCTTTTAAATAATATCCGATGGTATTAGGCTGTTGGAAATAAGCTAAATTTGTGTAATGTATATTATGTTTTAAAATTCATGATTGTCACTTTGTAATGTGCAATGCACCTTTAAAGTAGTAATTATATTTATCTTGTGCACTTCATAGTTAAACATGCTTATATTACAACATTTTTAAGATAGAAGACATTTGAAAAAGCTATACAAATAAAAATAAAATCATGTTGTTCAACCTAAATTTGGATAAGTCAAATGGGACAATACATTTCATAGTATGGCATGAGTTATTATAGTTAGTATCAAAGCTTTGAGTGATTAAATAACGATGAACCAATAAAGTTGGTGTTGTCGCAATGCATGAAACTGAAGAGGTTAATCCACAAATAGCATAAAATGATGTCCAAGTTTGGGCAAGGAGTGATCATTAAGAATGAGGCTTTGCCAAGGAATACCAACGGCTTGCAAACATATTTTGACTTCAAACTTCTATGAGATAAGAACAATAGTGTTTCTTAAATTTCCCATTGAAAGTTGATTAAATATATCTGATTATGAGACTAAGGGGCATGGTTGATTACACAATATGCATTTTGTTGCATTTTACAAATTTCTCTTTGGAACTTAATGCTTCAGTATGCTCGTAGCGGAGTTCTTCTAGTATGGGTGACCACTTTGTAAGGCACATAAGCATATAAAATGGTGAGATTTAGTCAGGAGTAAGTGTAATAAAGCTAAAATATTTAACACTTTGCATAAATTACATGTGGTTATGATTTCTAACAAAATTGATAAAAATTAACAAAGATCAACTTTATACCCAATAAATAATTTATAATTGTTATTTGTGTATGTTTTAATATGACATTTTGATTGTATAAGAAGATATATCGTAGTTTCAACCTTGTAAAAATGATTTTTGCCAATCAAATAACATTGTTTAAAAAATTTGGTAATGAAAAGATGGTTAATATTTGGTTGAAATTAATCAAAGATAGAAAAAAAGGTATTTTACTTCTTAGACAATAAATACAATAAGAGGATGTTAAAAGACATAATTTACAAATTATAGAAACACATGATAAATATAAGAAAATAAATTATCATTGTTTTGGTAACCTTGACAAAGAATATATAAATTAAAATATTGTGAGATATTTCTAGCAATTATGTTAGATTTAAAATTAGAATATATCACAATAGAACAAAACATATTGATGATAAGTTCTTTTCAAATTGAAAATAAATTATTTTGGGAGTACCTTAACATAAACTTTATTATGATGGGCTTAACATCTCATAAACTTATTTTGAGATCATGCAATATAAAGTCCTTACTTGTAGTACTAATCTCAAAGGAAATGAGAAATTTTTAAGCATGCCCTAAAATAACTTTTATAAGAATATTTTAACAAAATTTTGTTCGCATGTGTCTCATAGATAGTGAATATATTTTAAATTTTAATGTTCGATTAAAATCATAAAATATATACCTTTTTGAAGTTCACTAATGCCAAACAATGAACATATAAAAAATCAGTATGGGCAATAGACTATTATACGAGTCTCCCGACCAACCACATGTGCCTAAGAATTCTATCCCACACATAAGCGGGTTAGAACACGTGACCCCAGTGATCTTACAAACTCTGTCAACCAAAAAGTCTCGGTAAGCGACACACACACGCAGACGTGCACGCGCGCACATACACATGCACACAGATTATTTGTTCCTATAAGAACTTTGAGGCAAAATAATAGTTTGCTAAATGTTGTAAATTTCATACCATTAACTTCAATTTTTTTAAATCTGTGAATACTTTTTTTGTAGTCCAAAGTTTTAATTTTTAGTATTATTATTTCATGGTTAAGATTATTAATGGTGTTGGTAAACTAATTTTTTACTAAGCACATTATTACAATTTCTTTTATATGATAAAGCCATCAATTTATATCTTCGTTCTGAATGCAATTTTTTTTATATGAAACTTGAGGAAATAATGATAGAAATGTTGATCACCGAAAGTGGTTTATTTCATTATTGCGGATTTTTAATTTTTAAATTAAGTATTATATATATATATATATATTTCAAGAAAATCGATATTTGACAGAGGCCCAAATATTGATTTCCCCTGCGCAATACAGCCCCATGATGAGAGCTCGCCTGCGCAATACAGCCCCATGATGAGAGCTCGAGCCATGTGTCTATAATTCGACCTCCCACGCACCACGGTAGGGATCGAACTCTTGCCAGAGGGGACTTACGGTGACCCTGCCTACCAATTGGACAAAATGCGTCACAACAAAGTAATTATATCGAGCGCAAGTTGGATGGTTTAATGCAAGCATACCTTTGTAAAGTCCATCTTATTTTATTCAAGAGGATCCAAAAAAATGCAAAAAAATTGCTTTAAAATAATCAACTGATTAAAAATTGGAATAAAATTAGGTAAAGATAACTTGATCAACTATAAGATGAAAATCAAATAAAAGTTGATTAATTTTTTATGAATTACACTACAATAAATTTAAATATTTTAAAAAGCTTCTTAATAAAAAAATTGGTCATGTGATGTTGACTTGAAAGCGTGAAATAATTTTTTAGCATCTTCATATCCAATAATTAAGGGCCCGTTCGGGGCAGCTTATAAGTGCGGGCGGCGTTTTGAAAACACCACCGTACAGTTTGGTTTGCGCGTTTCGTAAGCTTATCCGAAATCGCGTTTGTGTTTTTACACTAAACGCAGGCCGCGGGCCGAATCCCGGCCCGAATCCCGCGGCCCGCTCGCAGGCCGCATTTCGGGATAAGCAGCTTATCTTGAAACACACAAGCTGCCCCAAACGTACCCTAAAATAGACATGTGAAAAAGTGAATCTTGTTTTATTATCATTAAAATAATTTTTTATATGAAAAATATAAGTTGTTGTTTGAAGAGAGGGAAGGGTCCCTCAGTCTGTGAAAGATATAAATATAATATATATGCTTGTCCTTGTCAGTATTCTTTGAGGCATTGGAAAAAATGTAAGATTGTTGGGGGTAATTTAGGTTTAGATGACAACAAAAGGTGGGAATGGTAGGATTATACCTGAGGATGTATGAAGAACCTTAACCTCTTGGATTATAGAGTCTCAAAAAGGTAAATACAAATTGCTACTGAAGGTGAAATATTATACATTTCATGGATGCTCTCTTTAACTAAATTGTGTTATTTCATTTTATTATATTTTTATTATCTTGTTTGTTTTCTTAGCACTATGATGTCGATATTATTATGTTTTTGTCTTGCTACTAACCCCCTTGCTTTGTTTTTGGAAATAAGAAAGATAATGGTCATTTACGTAACGGAAAACATGACAAATATGTTAACTTGTTCAATGGTTATCATCATGAATATCTTAACATGTTATGTATAAGTAGGCTTGCGTTGTACCGAATAGTTAGAAAAGAAATTGGATGTAAAAATATTGAATCATTGACTTTTACTCATAAGCTAGGTATGATAAGAAAATACAATATTGTTTCACTTCTATATCATGAACGAGGATGTCTCAAGTGTGGGCAAAACCTCCCATGATGACACCGCATACTTGAGGATTCTCTTGATACACGATAATTGATAACGAAAACTTCATTTGAGAAGGATTAATAGTCAAGCTGTAATGCTCTCTCAAAAGGAGGGTGTGTTAATGTTCATTAAAGTTGTTAGTTTAGTACTACATTGGATATTTAATTTAAAACATGTTGATATAGAAATTCAAATAATTTTACATTATTTATAAAAATAAGTTTTTGGATTAATTGTGAGATCAATTACTGATGCATATGGTCTAATATTGATATCTTTTGGCCCAACTCAAACAAAATCTTGCCCAAGTTATTTGGACACAACCTACTTACATTTAGCATCAATCACTTTTGTTGAAAGGTACATCTTATTCTATTTCATTGTGAATTTTTAAATAGCTTCTAAGCATGTTCCCTTAACTTGATGTTCTTATTCTTCATCATAGACGTTTCTTTTTAATTTTAGATCCATCATCTTTTTGATTAACTTCTTTTATTTTCCATCATTGTCTACATCTATACCATTTTATGATTATATTAGCAAGTTATGAACTTTCCATGCATAGTATTATGTGCTCCATATATTCTTTTGTAAAAGAGAAATAAAATATTGTGTCCTAAACTATGCTCCATGCATAGTTTATTAAGATAAAAAATTATAGATGTTAACAATTGGAGCTTAAGAGAGAAGTATATAATATCTTTTATTTTGTGGATAATGTTATTATTTTTGTGGTCTAAAGTTTGGTTAATTATTTATATTACAGCCCTAACAATGTACTGAGAGATGATGGAAGTCCTAACGAACAAATGCAAGAACATGAATTGAAGGTTGCCACCGCATTGTTCCATTAAAAATTATGATACCTCCGTTGTCTAATTGTTAATAATCCATGATTACTTTGTCTTCATTCCATGAGATAGCTTTTTTTTTTTTTTTCCATTTTTTGATATTATGTTTCCATTTTTTGATATTATGTTCTGATGTCAGTATTTTATCTTGTGATCATAAATTGAGAGATAAACACAATAAGTAGAATTTTTTTGTCACCTTAAGTTAATCAAAATGCACAGTCGATTTAGTTTCTTTCAATTATCTCATTATTTATAAGTAGTTTATCACTTCTGTGAATATAATTTATCATAGTTGCTACTATAGATTTCTCTAATTTTAATATTTGAGTTTGGCAACATATTTTCTTAATTTATATTTCAAATTTTAAAATATAATAATAATAAGCTTATACTTGGAAGGGATGTTAATATATCATTGAGAGAATTGAAGTTATACATGATACATTAGTAATCAATTTATTTTGAACCAACATGTTTCAGTTTATGGATGTATGCTAAGAACTTAATGTTAACATACAAAAATATTTGTAAGATTATTTGATATGATATTAAATTGATTGTCATGCATCTTTCTATCTTCTATTGATGAGAGAGTTCTCCACATCGGGCATCAGTTTGTTTACTTAGAAGCTTTCTAGCACCTTCAAGTATCATGAACAAGAGCCTAGACGTTGCCATTGTAGCATTGTCTAACTTACATTTCATAACTATTATCAATTTTTTTTGAAACTTTATTAGTATGTTTCTAAACTATTATAGTTCTACACTAATATCATGTTCAAACATCAACCTCTTAAGGGGGAAAAAATATTGCGTCCGGAGTCCAAACGAAACTACATCCGGGCAATAGACGCGATACACTAGGGGCGTTTCTTTTTTCCTTCGCACCATCCGGTGTATCACGTTTGTTGTCCGGACGTAATATTTTTTCCTTGAAGGGAGGCATCTTTTCCTGCTGCTGATGTAAATGTTTGTACAGACAAGAAAGCTCTTCGCTTGGCAACTAATATTTTCTCAAAACTGCATCACCACTTAGGGCTCGAATGACATTCAAACTTCTTGATCTCTATAAGCACAAAAAATTTTGGGTGGACATTTGACAAAAAAAGTATAAATGAATTGTAATTAGTATGTAAACAAGAAGAATTAGAAAAATAGTTTGTCAGCCTCTTATTTATAAGCATTAATGATATGTTAATCATGTGCTAAACAATTTCGGAACAGAAGAAAAAAAGAATGTTCATAAAACTTAAATTTTTAATCTTTTGGTATCGGTAAGAGTGTCAAAGAACTTGAATTCATCTAAAACCTTAATCACTATAAGAATTCAACATATTTGTGTCGGATAGTTCAGACGCAACTCTGGCGATATTTAAATGTTAGCTTCGGATTTGCGTCTGATTTGAGTCTAATATCTTCTGATGTTAAATAGGGGTCGCTATTTTTTTCCCGTCTAATTTACTTTAAAATACTTCGACACAAATAATTTATGTAGGTTTTTGCATCGTATTAGCGTTGTATTTGTTTATGCGTAACGGGCGTCGAAATTTACGTTTGAAAATATATGACAATAAATCTTAACGTCAGATTACCGTCTCATTTGAGTTGGAAAATATCCTAAATAAATGAAAAAATATGATAAATGTTTCGTCGGCTTTTGCGTCTGAAAACTAACGCAAATCCGATCCAAATTTTTTGCACAAAAAAAATCTAGAATATCAATTACATTTTCCGACCTGCTCAAAAACACATTGCGCATCACAAACCACATTAAACATAGCAATATCATAGAAGAAATCTCTAAACAATATCATTAATAAAAGGAATATAAAGTCACAAATCGTTCCAAATAAGAATCGAAAAGTTAATCCAAAAATTTCACAACAAATATTTTACATAATGACTACAAATAAAAGAAAACATATAAAAAAAAAATTACTCATTATCTTAATCCTCCTCCTCCTCCTGCACAGATGTCATTCCACCATGCGTGCTATAGCGTCCTTGACTTTATGTTGTCCTTGTAGCATCTACTTAAGCAATTGGCGGATCTCCTCGTTCATTGCAACCATCTTCCTAGCAAGAGTCTTTTGGTCTGGCTGTGAGAAGCTTGGGGAATTAAGAAAGGGACCACGGAAGAGCTCGACCTCGAAGGCTATGCCCTTCTCTTCAAGGCTATAAACGCTTCCCTTCTTCCTCTCTACCAGCTTGGGTCCAAAGCTCATGCTAGGATTGTGCAGTGATAGACGAACTACCACTGCTGCTGTTATCAATTTGGACCTGAGTAGCCAAGTGCCTCTCTCGAAGCTGCTTAAACTCCTCCTGTATAATGAAAACCAACGTTATATCACCATCACTTTGAACAAGACCCGATGCACTCCTCTACTTCGACCAACTAACATTCATTCAACTGATAACATCCCTATCTATATCACCCTTACCTTGAACATTTGATCGATCGATGCATTCCTCAAATTCAACCAACCAACTTCAATTCTGCTAATAACATCCCCATCTATATTATCATCATTTTGAATAATAGATCCGATTGACGCATTCCTCCACTTCAACCAACCAACATGAATTCTAGTAATAACACCCCCTCCTATATCACCATCATTTTGAACATGACCTGATGCACATATTGCTTCACTTCAACCAACCAACTTGAATTCTACTAAACGATATACACATACCACTCAATACTTAAATATATACATAGCTAACACCTAAGCTTCAATTTTTATGCAGATTTCATACATACCACAATACATATCTATGAATATTTTCATACATACCACTCAATTCTTAATATATATATATATATATAAACTTCAATTTGGACATGCACACCACATTTCCTATGCACTTGGATAAAACATACATCACACAAAGATTTTCATCCACACCTAAACATTACTTACGAAAGACCCATTTCACTAAACAAAAATTTAAATGATAACGACTGGCGCAAATTAAATTATCTTTCTCACTGTTTTCTGATTAGAGCGACGCAGAAGGATGAGAACTACGGGAGTTTCAATGGTCTCTGCACGCAAACTTCATCACCTTCCGAGCTAGCTCTAATGGCGACTACATTGTGAAGGTTCGTTCGGGAAGGCGATGGATTTGAGCGAAGCTGTGAGGGAGAGAGAAAGGGAAGAGGAAAAGAGGAGAGGGGTAGGCGCGAGGCTTCCGGGCAAACGGAGAGATAGAGCATGGAGTGAAAATGAAATTTAGGCAGACGAGATGTGTAAATTAGGTTATTTGCACGCAAATACCACACATTAATTCCTGCTTCTCCTATGACAAATTCATTTGGACTTGGATCTCTTAAACTTAGTAAGAGCTAGCCCCAACACAACCTGTTGTGCTCATCTACTAATCTCAATAGAGGGACTCACGAGGTCACCATTCACAAAACTACTTGCCCGTTGAGCTTGATTATTAGCTTAGAGTGCTTTCGCCCTAACAAGGAGTTTTTCATTTAATTTACAGTTAAGCATTTGAGTAGTGTCGCCCTTTTTTTTATTTGTTGGGTCATTTAAATATATATGCCCCACTTCTTATGTATTTACATATGTAACACCTAAACTTTAATTTTTACCTTTATACTGCACAAATCTTCCATATCAAAATACTATGACTTTAAATTTTAAAAGGTGCAATGCACCTTTTTCAATATAGGCAAGCTGTTATACGGCTAAAAATTAAAGTTTAGATATTAAATATGTAAATAAATAAGATGTGGGTAATATGTATGAAAATAACACAATAACACTACTAAGTTCATTCAAAATTCTTTAAGAGGTTGTTTGGTTATCAAAGTTATTGATTCATTGTAAATGAAATGCAGAGATTTTGAAAATTTGGTGTTTGGCTGGATGAAAGTGATGAAATATAAGTTTCGATGAGTTTAGATTTCACTTTGGGGCTGTTTGGTTTGCTCGAAAAGAAATGCAATGTAAAATAAATAATAAGGTAAGTTGAACATAGGAGTTCATTTGTTTTCAGTTCGGTTTGAAGTATAATAAAGATAAAATGTTTTAAAGTTTAAGAGATATTGTATGAATTTTTAGTGGTATGGGAATGAGAGCGATGGTGGAGGTGTCGGCAAGAGAAGGGGGGGTGGCAGCTGACAATAGGGGCAGCCAGCTTGCGGAGGCCAGAAGGTTGAGGCTGGCAGAGTCAATGGTGGAGGTGGACGGTGATGGGGGCAGGGATAGAAGGTGGCGGGTGGCAGTTGATGGTTGCGGCGATGACAACAAGCAATGGCCGCTGGTAGAAGGCGATGTCTGGTGGCAACATGTTGTGGCAGCGATCGGAGGTGGCCAACAGTGGCTAGAATTAGATGTTGACTATAGCGGGAAATGACAGCAACAACTAATGGTGGCCGGCGGTGGAGGTGGGAGGAGGTGGCAGGTGGAGGCTGCAACAATTTATATAAGACTGTGTATTTTGAATTCAGTCAATTCAATCGAATTTAATCATATAGTAAATGAACAAAGTTATGAATTCTAAATTCATTCATACTTCATATTCTATTTATAATTCAACTAACAAAACATCTAAGTTTTTAAAAGTCCAGCAAAACAACTGCATTTCATTAGTAATTCAGATTGGTGTATTAAGTTTTCTTCATACTTGAATGATTTCAAAAGACAAATCAAGCTTTTGTCGTTGTCGCCGCCATCTACCATCAGCCCCTCATTTTTCGCTCGCCACTCATTTGCCAACGATCGTTCTTTGCTTGCCCCTGCCTATCGCCCCTATCGGCCGCTTGTCGCTAACCATGCTTTACTTTGATTTTAGTTTTTTCAAACCTAATTTAAAAATATAAATTCATTCTTTTATTTAATCAAATTACTCCCAAAATATATCAAATACAATAGATTTCAATCAAATTATTTTAAATATATTACATTTCAATGAGATTTTATTTTCTTATAATGCATTCATTTAGGTAGACCAAAAAACCCCCAAGTGTCCTCATTTCGAATTAAAAATATTTATACTAATGCGATAGTCAAAATAAAATATTTTATTATTATTAATGATATTAAG